CACCAACTCGGCTAGGTGACCTGACCAGACAGCGGTCGCAGGCACCCGGGCTGAGCGGGAGGACCCCTACTTTCCCACTCAGCCCTGGTTGATCCGGACGCTGTGCAAGCCCTGTTGCAAGGGTTCTAAGGGTGTGAGAAACTCACATTTGGACATCTGTGGATGTACCTGACCACAATTACTACCGAATTCAGTCGACATTAGTTATATTGCCAGTATTCCTACCCCAAGCGACTGGGGAAGGGAAGGGGAAACACTCCCATTGTGAGTATCCCCTCAAAACTCCCATGCCTAAACACGGCCTAAATGCCATGACCATGTCTCACTGCGCTATGTTAGTATGTCTATGTCCAAGTTGCTGAAATCCCACACCCACTATCTGAAGCTTTTTTTTTCTCTCTTCTTTTCAAACCTACATTCTTCCTTTGGCCAGAGGCTGCTCACCTACGAGATATGATGCAGTTAAGTACGGCCAGGCGTGAGAGGTACCCGTCCGTGGTTCAGTATTTTCAAGGGCCATCGGGGGCGCGATGGACACCACAGGACGCGCGGTGCTTCGCCGGGAGCTGCAGCCTATCTCCGGTGAAGCTGATTTTTATTTTTTGACCATTGCAGCATAGCCATCAGATTTCCTAACAAAAGACCTAGACATAGCCCAGTGGCGCCCGCTCTCTGAGCTCATTTTCACCATCTCATCATGACCGTCAGATTCCCTGACAAACAGATGCTCCCAAAGTGGGTGGGTGGGTGGGTGGGTGGGTGGGTGAGTGAGTGCGTGAGTGAGTGACTGAGTGAGTGAGTGAGTGAGCGAGTGAGTGGCTGAGTAAGTGGTTGAGGGGTGGTTAAGTGGGTGGTTAAGTGGGTGGTTAAGTGGGTGGTTAAGTGGGTGGATAAGTGGGTGGTTGGGCGGGTGTTTGAGTGGATGGTTGAGTGAGTGAGTGAGTGAGTAAGTGAGTGATGCACTGAGACTAGTTGATGGAGTGATGAACGGAAAGATTAATCAACCTAGCTCAAGAATGATCTTTTGTTAGATAAAGCACTACGATGCAAGCCTGTCGGCCACACAAGTCCAAAAAAATCATCGATATGAGGAAGAGGTGCAAAATGACACAGAGGAATGATCCAAATCAAAACAAAACTGATCAAACTGACAATGTGGCACAGAACTGATCCCGCACTAGCGGGGAGGAGTCCGAGCAGAGACGAACCTCCCTGTCTCAATTATACATAGAGGAAGGTTGAGGAAGATGGAAGAAAGAAGAAGAAGAAGAAGAAGAAAGAAGAAGAAGAAGAAGAAGAAAAACCAAAAGATGAAGGAAGATGGAAGAAGAAGAAGAAGAAGAAGAAGAAGAAGAAGAAGAAGAAGAAGAAGAGGAAGAAGAAGAAGAAGAAGAAGAAGAAGAAGAAGAAGAAGAAGAAGACCCAATGCATGACAGTGCGAATAATAATAATCTCTCCTCCGCCTGAGGCCTCTCTCCTCCACCTGCAACCTGCCTGAATGGAAAGCAAAGAAAATTGGACTGAGAAAACACAAAAATACCCACAAGCCTGGACTGATAACAGACAAAATACTCACACACCTGCCTCAAATCAAAAGCAAGGGCCCTCTGCGCAATGTCAGGCCCTTCGGCCTGTGTTAGAAGGCTCTAGGCATTCTACACATTCTCTTCTCTCATTTGATTTTGATTGCATTGGAGGGGAGGGTAGGAGAGGGAGGGGAGGGAATTTGATTTGATTTGATTCTGTATGATTTGATCGGATTGGATTGGATTGGATTGGATTGGATTTGATTGGATTGGATTGGATTGGATTTACAGCTTGAAGTGCAAACCCTGCTACAGATAAAAGATTTCCCTCTCCTGGGATGGGATGGGATGGGATGGGATGGGATGGGATGGGATGCCAGTTCATATCCCAGTGGAGAGAGAGAGAGAGAGAGGAAGGGGGGCGGCGAAGGCGAGGTACCCTGGGTATACCAGTTCATATCCCAGTGGGAATTTGTACGTGTTTAACACAGAAATGTGGAAATCACGATTCTCTGCACTTCTCTTCAAACCAGTCCAGATTCGGGAGTCAAATCCCACCCTCTTTGCTAGCAGGCAGGTACCCTGGGTATACCAGTTGATATCCCAGTGGGCCGTTGTGCCCGAACAGCCCCTGGGTATGAGGATAATTTTGGTCTTCGGGTAGTTGGGTATAAGTCCAATTTGGACGGCCACACCTCAGTCCCGGCTATGGCCATAATTTGGCATGGGTATGACCATATCTTGAGCGTTCCGGTAGTTGGTCACTGCCGCAATTTGGTGCGGTGGGTCCACCTCAGTCTTGGGTATGCAAATAATTTGCACAGACCATTTCCCGGGTACAGATGCAAGTTGCACTCTGGGACTGGATATAGCGGGTATTCCCATCTTTTAAATGGGGTACAGATGCAATTTCCCCAACTTGCATCTGTACCCGGGAAATGGTCTGTGCAAATTATTTGCATGCCCAGGACCGAGGTGGGCCAATGTTGGTACCGCCAAATTGCAGTTATACCCAACTACCTGAATGCTCATACCCCTGCAAATTATGCGCAGACCTAGGCTACCAGCCGGGCTGTCCCGGTCACCCTATTTTCCAGGGCGGCCCGGCCGTGCAAGGACCAGGAAAGGTCCCAGCCAAAAAAATCCAAAAATAAAAAATCCAAAAATTCCGAAAACTATGTTATGCAGAAAAATAAACTGAACAACTTTTGCCTCAGGGTCACATCGAAATTCTTTACCAAATTTAAAATAAAATTTTAAATTAAAATAATAAAAAATAATTTTTATTTTTTTATTTCTTTTCATCTTTTTGGCAAGTGGACCCGGGCCACTCTGGTAGCCTAGGCGCAGACCCAATTTTGCCTGCCCAGTTCATGGGCATAAGCATAATTTTGTGCTCCCCAACCAAGGGCCTCTGTGACTGGGTACACATACAAGTTGGCGCACGGTTAAAGTGGTTTGGGTATTACCTTAAGGAAAATGCTCCCGGGCGCCAACTTAGTACTATAACGTTAAGTTAAAAAGATTCTGGGTATAGACGCAAGTTCGGCACTGGGACTGTGTATAGCAGGTATTCCAACTTTACGTGGGGTACAGACCCAATTATTTACGTTTTCTAAAAGACTTTCATCACGAAGGGGCGGCATTCAATTTATTTTTTTTATTTTTTATTTTTTTAGCATTCAATTTCTAACAAGGGAAAATTGTTCAAATGCCCCTGAAAGTTGGGTATGGTTACGGCGAAATGCACCTATGACAATTGCAAAACTTTGCAAAATACCCCACTCGCCAACTGGACCTGTCATCTTTTGCATGTACCCCTACCGGGCCCTGGGCAACTGATCTACATGCCCCGATATTTCTGGCTGCTGGGCCCTGCAGATGACAGAGAAAATGCGCCAGCCCCTCTAGCCTGGGGCCAGGGCATAATGGAGAATTTGCCAATGACTGGGACAGGGGCAGATGCAAAAGTTGAGGGCATTTCCGCACACCCCTGTGTTTTAGGGGCATCTAACGAAATAACCCAACTTTTTAGGGGTATTTCAACAATTTCCCCCCTTCTAACAAATGCTGTTAAGAAGAACAGGCACCCAGAACAATTGCCAAGTACCTAAGACTTAGGCAAAAAGAAAAGAAAAAAGGAAAAAAGGTGGTGGTGTTTAGGCACAAGCCGCACAACAGAAAAAAAAAAAAAAACACAAAACATTTTTAGGGCCTTCAGGCACACCTTCAGATAACAGTTCCAGTAG